TCAACTTCTAATATCACACATAGCAACCACCCTTTCAAAACCATGTGAAGTCTCAGTCCCAAGACATTCCCCTCCATTCAGGCAGCAAGAGTCACTGCAGTGAATGACAACATCCTCCACACCCTGAGACAGAAACTCTGACTTAGGAAGAGAAGCCACTGGGAGTTCTATTTTGCACAAGGATCTCATGATCTCCTAGGAGAAATGGGGACGCGCATTCAAAGGCTTAATGAGGTCCCCAGAGTAAAACTGTGAACCAAGAAAGGAGATAAAGCACCTTGAAATCTTTGGAAGGGTCCCAGGAAGAGATGAGGGGAAGCCATTTAGGAGACTTGTTGAAGATGCAGGAGAGAGACGGTGGTGGCAGAAACCAGAGCAGTGGTCGTAGAAATTGGAGTGAAGCATATGGAGTTGAGATATTTCAGAGGCAGAATTGTCAGAACTTGCTTCACTGGATGTGGAGAGTGTGGGAGCAGGAGGCTTGAAGGACAGGCTTGGTTTATGAGTTGGTCTCTTAGTCCACCAGCACAGGCCCTGGGAGTATGTTCCATAACTCTCCACAGAGAGACCCTTAAAAACTAGTAAAAACTAGCTCTCTGATGGAAAAACACTTTGGAGGCTTTGCAAGCCAGAAACTGTGTTCAGAGGCTGATGAAATCTTTCTTTTAGGAATATCATCTTCTGAGTATGGACTTCAAAGACCTTTCCCATCCAATTTATTATCTTGATGGCTGTACCACAGAAATGTGAACAAGCACAGACAACATATATCTGACTACGAAAGGCACCAGTCTCAGAAGAAAGAATTGATACTACGAATTCTTTGCTGTCTTGGAAATGAGAGCAGTGAAAAATGCTCAAATGAAGTGATTTGACTAACAGCCCCGTCAGTGCATTCCATAGCACACTCCAACTGCGGGGAATTAATTTTTCAATGGCCATACCCACAATTGTGTCTTCTCTGCTAATTCCTTTTTTATAAACCATAATGTTGTTGTTTCTGCCTAATAAATTAGTTTGGATAATAACACCATAAAACTTCAAGTAGAAACTATTTGATCAAAAACAAGATATATCAACAAGAAAATATATTACTATGTAAAATATGAATAGAGCTGGAACTACCATAGAAAAAAGATTAAGCTCTCAAGGAGGTTAAATTTCTCAGCATCTGAGCACAAATGTTCCCAAGTGTTGATTCAGCATACAGTCTTTTCCAAAAGCCTTCAAAGATTGAACAGATGCTCCTAAAGGTCAGTGAACTTCATTGCAAATTTCACGCTAATTTATTCTTTTCTTCCCTGTTTACAGGGGATGCAGTGGGGGGAGGGTAGGAAGGGTGGAGAAGAGCTGAGAAGAGGCGGAAAGAGGGTCAGTTCTATCATCATCAGTGGACACACAGGGACAAAAATCAAGCTGGACTCTCAAGGAAGCAAGGAAACTGAGTCTCTCAATCTGGCGACCCGGCAGACAATGGCCTGGAATGAACGGAAGATAGAAATAACAATTTGGAAAACAGTTTTGCAGAAGTTCTTCCTTTATCAAGGAAGATGTTTAACCACGCCTGTGCTTGAAATACTCATAAACAAACGATGTTCACCGAAAAAGCAGTTATTTTTACAAGATAAGTAAGAAATGATCATTTCCAATTAGTTTAAAAAGAGAATGCCAAATAGAATATACATGGGATTTGATCATCTCACATTCTGGGAGGCAGAAACATAAGCATGTTAAGAACTAAACATCATGCTTTTAGCTCCTATATATTTTGCCTGAATGGAATTCTTCTGCGTGGTTAACATGCCTCCCTTACGCAGCAAAATCCACCCTGAGTCCAACACCATTTTCTCAAAGCCTAATTCCTTTCAATAAGGCACTAAATCATTTTATTGCAACTACCAACTGCTTTCTTATTGCTAGGAATGGTACGATACACTTACTTTTTGATATATGCTCCAGCTTTTCAAGATTCTGTTGGAAACAAAATGATCCTTTATGACATTTTACAATATTCCACCTTGTTTATTGCTTTCCAGAATTTCTATCATTAAGTAAAGGGGCTTCTTTCACCATCCAACTCCCCCAAAAAACTAATCTATTCCCCAACTGCCTATCAGAGACTAAATAAAAGTCAGTCTATCACAGCAGCAGTGATGGTCATGCCAATTTCACAGTGTGATTTGTGTGCTCATTTCATTTTGAAAACGACCCTGCCCTCCATCTGTCTAAGCCGAATGTCCTGCTTTTTTCCAGCCAGGCCTCAGGAGCAGCAGCACATGAAATAGGCAGGAAGACACAGAATGGCCTCCCTCCTGCCCGCTTCGCTGCCACACTCACAGATACATACCAACACAAAGAGCGGAACCTCAACTGACGCCTGAAGGGGTCAGAGAAATCTGGAGGAGAGCAGAGTCCTGTTTTTCATACACATCCAAGAAGCCATTGGAAGGTGAATGCTTTCATGATGCAAATACAACTCTGAAACAGTGACTGACAGACTAAAGATGTAAAAGGCAATTTCCGGTTTCCATGTTCCGTCATCTTACCTTGATTTAATACCAACTTACCCAAGGTAATAGGTCAATACATAAAGATTTAAAATACATAAGGTTTTTAAAATATTGAGCCTTTTGGATAATTATTTTTTTCCAAGAGATAAGTGTCAATCAGGCAGGCATAAAGGAGAAGACACCCTATTCCCTGATTACTGAGCAGCTTTAGCCTGCAGCCCTCAATCCATGTACCTCCCTGCGTTGAAGACCAGAAAGGGCTGCAGCCAGAGACTGGGCTGGAAGAAGCTTCTGAGTAGGGTTATGGTGGTCCTCATCAGCTTCTTTCTCTGGGGATCTTAGGTGGGCCAGGGCCCCACACAACCCCTGTGAAATGGGTGCAGTCCCTTTCTTGGTATTCAGGCAGTGGAAGGTTCCTTGTCCAGGCCCATCCAGAAGAGCACAGCTTTGGCAAACTTCTCAGGAACACAGAGGAAAGTATGAGCACATGAAGTCAGTCACTCGATAGTATAGCATTCGGATGCCTTATTGAAGCTTTTTTTTAGCTATAGCAGGTGATTAGGAACTGTACCCCCCACCACCATTAATCACTTCCTAACATCTGCTCACAGCTGCAACTCAGGCCAGGAAGTTCAAATTCTACTGCCCAAACCAAGTTGGTCACTTGTTTTAATGGGAAAATAACAATCAAAAAAGCAAGACACTAGTATTCCCTCAAAACTGGGCCCTTATGTGATAGATCGATTGAATTAATTCATCAGTCACTATTTCTTAATGAACTTGGCTTTTGGATATCATGGTTCAGCTGCTTCTTTTCTCCATCTGTAACATGCAGAATACAGGGTGACTATAAAGATTAGAGATAACGGATATGAATAGTCTGAGTGCCATGCAGTATGGTTGAGATTGGCTCCAAAATTTATATATAGAAAAGATTTATTGCACTGAAGTCTTTATAGAAAATTATATAGTAAAGATATGATTTTACTCAGACCATGTTTATCTCGGGTGGTAGCAAGGCCAATGGAAATCACAGAAGACTATGAAAGACAACCCCCTCACCTCAGGCCACCAGCAGAGGCACTACATATGATAGATATTCTTAAATTATAGCTACTTTTATTATCTTGAAAACTGCACATTTACCACTACTTCACTGGGATAAACCAGTTTTGTTTTTTGCTATCTTGCCTACTTCTCTAATTCTTGATTGAAAAATTGTATTCATCTCCCACAAACTCTACAGTCTCCAATTCAGTCTAAGCTATGGGTATGTTTTTTATTAGTGATCCAATATAATTTTATAGGATAATTAAGACCCTAGTTTTTCACTGCCCCACGATGGGTACTATTAAATTCAAAAGAATTTATACAAATACAGCCCTGAGGTAGTAACACGGCACCTAGAGCATCTATTCCAAATACATGATAAAGGAACAAAAGAAAATTCAGAATGGTTTCTTGTGCAGTCCAGCAAATCTCCACAGAGATCTCCAAACTAAGAACGTGGGGGGGGGGAATTAAAGTGTAGGCAAATTTTCTTTTTATTTTAATGAAAGAAAATCCACTTTTATCAGGTCAGTGATATTCAAAAAACATCATTAAAGCCTGACATGTACAGGCTGGGTATCTCTCTCACATACATCACAGACTGACTGACTAAGTAGGTTTAGAGTTAGAAGAGTAACGGTGCACAAAAAAAGGTGCACTTTTCGTCGTGCTCCACCTCCCCTTCCCCCGCCCCGCCGTGAAAAACACGCGGTCATGGATTTCTACACGGTAGTTAAATTTCGAGGATCAAAGCAGTATGTAGGGCGAAGCTTAAATACTAATATGTGCTCAGTAGTATTTGTTTTTATGGAAAAGGCGGGGACGGGAGACGCTCGGAACTAAAGCCAATCCTCTCCCAGGAGTAGACAACCTCCACAGCACTCTCTCCTGTCGTCAACCTCTGGAAACGACAAAATAGGGACTCCTGGTCGTTGCACTATACTGATCTTAGAAACCATACCCTCAGGGCGGCCCGAAAACAGAACCTACTCTAATTCAGGGAGAACACCAAGTGGACATTCCGCCTTTTCCATTCCCATTTCTTTCACCAAACCAATGCGGAACGACACTATTTGTACGTACCACACGGTGTATAAGTCTCAAAAACTCAAGCGACTGCGGTCCGTAATCCTCTCCTCCCCGGCGCCGGAGACCGACGTAAGACAACACTCATCCAGTGACACCTAACCTCCCGACGCCGTGGGTCGCTCTCGCGGAGACTACGCCTCCCAGCATGCAGCGCGGCTACGACCCGAGCGGCGGCGCGATTGGACGGGTGCATGCCGGGAAGTAGAGTTTCCTTTCCTCTCTGACTAGCGCTTCTCACTCTCTAAAGTCTTCGGGGACCAGACGAGATATAGGGACGCTCACATTTGTGATTCCTTTCAAATTCTAGTCTCGTCTTTCCGCTGCAAAGTAACTTTGGAAGCACTCAAAAAAAAAAAAACCCAAAACATTTTTTGCAGTCTTCCGTTTCCGGTCGGCTTGTTGCCTTGGTAACTAGGACGCACAACCGTCGTGGCGGTTATGGCGGGGCTGGGCGGGGCGCAGATCCCCGATGGCGAGTTCACCGCCGTCGTATACCGGCTCATCCGGGATTCCCGCTACGCCGAGGCGGTGCAGCTGCTGGGCGGAGAGCTCCCGCGGAGCCCGAGGAGCCGCGCCGGCCTGTCGCTGCTCGGCTACTGCTACTACCGCCTGCAGGAGTTCGCGCTGGCGGCCGACTGCTATGAGCAGCTGGGCCAGCTGCACCCGGAGCTCGAGCAGTACCGCCTGTACCAGGCCCAGGCCCTGTACAAAGCCTGCCTCTATCCAGAGGCCACCAGGGTCGCCTTCCTCCTGCTGGACAACCCCGCCTACCACAGCCGGGTCCTCCGTCTCCAAGCCGCTATCAAGTACAGCGAGGGCGATCTGCCCGGGGCCCGGAGCCTGGTGGAGCAGCTCCTGAGTGGGGAAGGCGGAGAAGACAGTGGGGGCGAGAACGAGCCCGACGGCCAGGTCAACCTGGGTTGTTTGCTCTACAAGGAGGGACAGTATGAAGCCGCGTGTTCCAAGTTCTCTACGGCCCTGCAGGCTTCGGGCTACCGGCCTGACCTTTCCTACAACCTGGCTTTGGCCTATTACAGCAGCCGGCAGTATGCCCCGGCGCTGAAGCATATCGCCGACATTATTGAGCATGGCATCCGCCAGCACCCAGAGCTAGGGGTGGGCATGACCACGGAGGGCATTGATGTTCGCAGTGTTGGCAACACTTTAGTCCTTCACCAGACTGCTCTGGTGGAAGCCTTCAACCTCAAGGCAGCCATAGAATACCAACTGAAAAACTATGAGGCGGCCCAGGAAGCCCTCACGGACATGCCACCTAGGGCAGAGGAAGAGTTAGACCCTGTGACCCTGCACAACCAGGCGCTAATGAACATGGATGCCAGGCCTACAGAAGGGTTTGAAAAGCTACAGTTTCTGCTCCAACAGAACCCCTTCCCCCCAGAGACCTTTGGCAACCTGTTGCTGCTCTACTGTAAGTATGAGTATTTCGACCTGGCAGCAGATGTCCTGGCAGAGAATGCCCATTTGACTTATAAGTTCCTCACACCCTATCTCTATGACTTCTTGGATGCCATGATCACTTGCCAGACAGCTCCTGAAGAGGCTTTCATTAAGCTGGATGGGCTAGCAGGGATGCTGACTGAACAGCTCCGGAGACTCACCATACAAGTGCAGGAAGCCAGGCACAATAGAGATGATGAAGCTGTCAAAAAGGCAGTGAATGAATACGATGAAACCCTTGAGAAGTATATCCCCGTGTTGATGGCCCAGGCAAAAATCTACTGGAACCTTGAAAATTATCCAATGGTGGAAAAGATCTTCCGCAAATCTGTGGAATTCTGTAATGACCATGATGTGTGGAAACTGAATGTGGCTCATGTTCTGTTCATGCAAGAAAACAAATACAAAGAAGCCATAGGTTTTTATGAGCCCATAGTCAAGAAGCATTATGACAACATCCTGAATGTCAGTGCTATTGTATTGGCTAACCTCTGTGTATCGTATATTATGACAAGTCAAAATGAAGAGGCCGAGGAGTTGATGAGGAAGATTGAAAAGGAGGAAGAGCAGCTCTCCTATGATGACCCAGATAAGAAAATCTACCATCTCTGCATTGTGAATTTGGTGATTGGGACACTTTATTGTGCCAAAGGAAATTATGACTTTGGTATTTCTCGGGTTATCAAAAGCTTGGAACCTTATAATAAAAAACTGGGAACTGATACCTGGTATTATGCCAAAAGATGCTTCCTGTCCTTATTAGAAAACATGTCTAAACACACGATCATGCTTCGTGACAGCGTTGTAGAAGAATGTGTCCAGTTTCTAGAACACTGTGAACTTTATGGCAGGAACATACCTGCCATTATTGAACAACCCCTGGAAGAAGAAAGAATGCATACTGGAAAGAATACAGTCACCTATGAATCCAGACAGTTAAAAGCTTTGATTTATGAGATTACAGGATGGAATATGTAGTAATGTCTGATAATGGCTTTTATCATGATGGCCTTATATTTTGTACTCTATTTTATCTTTATTTAGCCACTGGCACCTTTACATTTGTTACATGTTGAACTTTGTACACTTTAAAATTATAATAATTACCCTTTTGTTTTTCAAATCTTCACAAAGTGAAATATAAGAACCTTGACACCTAGAAAGATTTATGAGAAATTCAAAGCTGAATGCGGACACTGTGTCTATTAGAACTTGTAGTGCCTCTGTTCCCTCTCCTTTGTTATCATTTGTGCTTTGTTGTATTTTCAGAGTCCCCTGGCCAAGGATTATCCAGGGACTTGGCATTATCAAGCCCAGAACTCAGAAGTTAATGTATAGGATTTCTAGGCTTTTAGTAATAATTTCAGGGGTTGTGTGTTCTGTTCTCATAATTTACCCTCATAATTATATTAATTTGTAATGCGCACATTTTACATAGAGCTTAGGATGTTTTGGCAGGATTTTTCAATATGTATATATAATGCTTTATGTAACCAAAATTCCTTAAGTTATAAATGTTTGGTGTTTTTTCCCCATAATGTGCAAGATTTAGTGGGAAATCTTGTGCTTTTAACAAAATTATGGTGCTATGGTGTAGAAACAATAAACAACTGTCAAAGAAACAATTTTACATGGTTTTCTTCTGTTCCATTTGTTAATAATTTGAACATATGAACAAGATATATTGTTACTCTTTTTCAAAACTCTGCTCTCATTTATCTCTAACAGTGACTAATAACAGAGGTACCCTGAGAACCCAGTTCTTAATTCCTACCTTTGTGATTGCAACTTAGGATATGTTAATGCTGGAGTTGTTTCCATCCTAGAGCCTCTCGGGTAAGGAAAAATCTACACTATTCCCATGACCCCCCCAAACTTCTCTCCTACCTCCATCACAGATGAAAAGGTCACTTCTGAAACCTTATTTGGTAGATTTGTAAAGCTAGTTTCATGCCCACAACCCTCCCAATGAGAACCCCACTCATTCTGCATAGGCATTTTATTTTCTGAACATTCAAGAGCTTTACTATTTTATCCCCACTCTTTTTCTCCCCATAAATCGGTCAACCCCAACTTGACCTGGCTTAGAAAAAAACAAAAGTATGAGGTTGAAGTATATGAAATTGCTGATTTTGAAAGTTTTTGACCTACAAAACTAGCAATTTCTTAGGAATAGTTCAACCTAATAGCTTTCTATTGAAAGATAGTGAACCCCTGTCATAATGAGATGATGGTTTTTTCCTTCAAAGAGAAATCATTTAGCTGCATAGGTACCCAGATGAAGTATGATGAGCATAAATTCCCTGTAGCATGACCTCCTGGTGCTCAAATTCTATTAGATCTATCAGAAAATTTGGTTTATTATGAATTCCAATGGTTTTGAATTTATAGCATTTTTAATCTTAATTATGTAAGCTGATATCATTTACCATTGATGTTGATCCCATATTTGGAGGACAATCAATGTTTAACAACCTTTCAGTACAAGCCATAGCACAATTCTATCTCTGGGAAATGTTCTTTGTTTAACAAGTTTTGTACTAAAAGTGTTGTTGCTGCTTTGTGCAATAGCTCTGTGCCCCTCAATCTTCATAGCCCCTTAAGATTTAGAAAGTAAATGAACTAAAATCCTATTTTCAACAGCCATGTTAAAATTCTGACTTTTTTTTGCACATTTCCTCTATTTTCTTTCTTTAAAAAAAAAGAAGCACAAAGTGTAAGTAATGTTAACCACCCAAAAGCAAATGTTTTCCAGATTCCCTTTTGCAAATAGCCCAGCCTTTATTCAGGCACACTTTATTTATCCAGGTGCTGTGTGTTTGTGGTTTGCTCATATGTGTAATTTAGCTTTTCAGAACATAAAAAGCTTTTCAGAACAGTTTTTAACCCCTTGCCGCTGGGCAGTTGGGATTTCCTGATTAGTAATGCATCAGGAAATCCTGACTGCTCCTACCACTGAAGGGAGGAATAAAGGTCAATTGTGGCATGTGTCCCCTTCCTTACTCTGGCTCTCCAGAGAGGCACCCACCTGAATTGATAGATTGCTGCCTGGCGACAGCAAAAACTCATGAAACACGTCTACAAAGTCGGCCAGCCAACAGAGCACTGGAGGAGACAGGAAAGGGTGAGAGCCTTCCTAACTCCCCAGGCATTTATTGTCTTTTATTTTTAGGATATACTTCTCTTAAACTCGCCTTCAAAGTACTGAGCTCTGCTTATTGATACTACCAGGCAAATGACTTTACAATGACTCCATGTTTTGCCATTTGAACAAAGGCTTTCATCCCTAAAGCTCTGATGAAGAACTTGGTTCTACACTCCTGGAACATTATTTACTCAGCGCTAAAAGCACTTTTCTTGACAAAAAAAGATTTCCCTGTATTTCTAAAGCCTTTACTCCTTTAAGATTTCTTCACAATATCTGCATAGTGTATTTTAAAGGAATCAAATATTAAATCCAGTATTTCATAATCTTAGTCAACCCTCCATCTCCACGTGTTCAGAATATAAGCATGTGTTTGTCCACAAGTAGTTATTTCCATTTTTTCAGATATGAACAAGAACTTGATCTTTCTGTGCAGAACAACCAAGCAGACTCCTTTGATCAGTGACATGACACGCCTGCCAAAGGACTCATATTCCTCATGACAGCCCCTCTTTGAAGATTTTATTTATTTTATTTTTTCCCCCCAAAGCCCCAGTGGATAGCCGTGTGTCGTAGCTGCACATCCTTCTAGTTGCTGCATGTGGGACTCGGCCTCAGGATGAACGGAGAAGTGGTGCCTCGATGCGCACCCGGGATCCGAACCCGGGCCGCCAGCATCGCAGCGCGCGCACTTAACCACCAAGCCACAGGGCTGGCCCAGACAGCCCCTCTTTGAATATGGCCTTAGCTGTGGCACGGATGTTCACACTAATACCATCTGTGAAGGTCAGGTGTACAGTGGCTAACTCTGACCTGTTCATGAGAAACAGACCACCGGGAATTGGGGAAACTCTGTGGGGATGCAGGTGGGTCATCGGGCAATGAGAAAGCTGTAATCACAGGAGATGATGCTCCCTCCCAGAGGAGTGATATAAGAACATATAGATATGGCCTCTCAGACCTCAGAGGAGCACCTCAGATGAAATCCACACAGAATTGTCAGCGACAGGTTTGGCCACTAGATGTAAGAACAATTTGTTTGTTGAGGGCTGTTGGGTAGATGCCCAAATAAAGAAGCTTACTGGGAAATGTGAGATAAGAAAAGGTCAAGAGCTTGGAGGCGAAGCTTTAAGGGAGTAACTCTCTGACCCCTCTGCCCTATAATCCTTGCTTAGGCTCATTTCCACACTGGCAATATAGAGGGAGAGCAGTACTGGAAGTCTGTCCAGGGTGTGGCTATCTAAACTACCTAATTTTAAAGGGATAACATCACCAAAGAAAAACTTCATTTCAGGTGAACATCCAGCATTTTTTAATACAATTGTTTGTCTTAGGTTCCTCAGTCTGTCTTTTTCTTAATGACTCTGAATGATCTGGAAACATCTGAGAGCTTGTGCTTTTCTGAGGGTATTCTCTGCCACACTGAGTACCTTCCTAGCAATGATGTGACTTGCAGCTCACTATCCACCATTCACTAAACCGCCTCTCATCCCTTGTTGACCTACCACTGGGACTAAAGTGACATGTGGGTTTTTTGTACTCACCTACTGGGCTAGTCCCTTAGTAAACAGCACATCTGGTGATGAGCCAGGAACCCTTGATTCTTGGTCATCCAGCCACATAATCATCATGATTGTAACCACCAGATTCTAAACTTATACTTTCATTCTAGCTATAAGATAAAAGCAACTTTTTGAGTACCCTAATGTAGCTCAAATCCTTCAGCAGCAATCTTAATTCTTAAATTAGCAGTTTTAAGGAATTGTGACTTTCCAAAAAACCTAGATTGGCTCTAGATTATAATAAAATGTTTCTTTAAAGATTTCTTTCAATTTCCAGTCTCTCTTTGGGAAGATATGTAACTTACAGTAATAGGTTATTCTTATGTTTTTAAGTACAGCTCAAAGGAATACAATATTAAAGTTATAAAAATGCAAATTTATTAAGTCCATCAAATACAGCACTTCCTTTTGAGTTTCATATTAAACCTATAAAGGCATCAGTGTAGGACCAATGGATTAAACATTTACAGAGCAAGACAGCATCTGAGACAAAAGGCTTCCCGGTATTTCTATGGTGTGGAGTCATGAAGACAGCAGCTTCCACTCCGTAGTTAGGGGGAGATGCCATATGACAAATAACCTACTTTAAAAGGCAGAAATTCTGTAGACATCAGACTGACTACCCAGCACAAGCAGCCTAGAGCAGTGAGGCAGCCAGCACAGAGGCAGTGGACGTAGTCAGACCTGGCTCTATATCCCAAGAATACCACTTCCCAGCCACTAACAGTGGTGTTACTCAACCTTGTTAAACCTGTTATTTCACCAGTAAAAAGGGGATGATGCCACTCACTTCACAGGGTTCTTGTGAGAACAATTATTACCTCTTGTCTAGGGTTAAGTGCCCAGCACAGTGTCTGGCTAATAAGGGGTGAATTAAAAAGTAAATTATTAACGCAATAATCAGTTCTAGGGTAGTGTTCAGCAAAAACATAGACTCAATCAGAATCACTGAGACCAACTTAGAAGAAACCTCAGAGATTTTCATTTTACATAAGAAATTAGGCCCAAATAGGGAAAGAGACTTGTAGTGGGTAGAGAAAAATGGAGCATACATTAGAACTCTTTCCATTGTGTTCTTAGACTTTAGAACTCCATCTTCTCATAAGTTATTTTACAGCTTTACAGTGACAAATTTCAGTCATTTTTTAGAGTATCTTCCCAGCTCTAACATGGGCAATGAGGTCAAAGGATGTGACAGAACTACGCAAGAATGGATTTCAGAGGTTGTCTGTGAGCCAATACTAGGCCCAATCAACAGACCACATGAGAAAATGGGTTTATGAGTATACTGAAAGGAAAGAGACATGCCCCTGAGGGCAAACACGGGCAAAAGTCAACATAATGGCAGTAAGACCTCATTTGTTTTTCTGATAGGGTAGCACAGGAAATCAGAGCAGCAAGCTTTATCAAAGGATTTCAGTCTGGCAGCTGACAATGTTAAATTAAGTAAACGTAATTGCATGTTTAATGTTTGCCTGGTATAAATGTTGAGTCATTGAAAAAAAGCGTATTTGTGGACAAAATGTGAAAATATGAGGTGGACAATAGCACGTCAAGTGGAAGTATAGCTGCCTGAACCCTGAATGCTCTCTCACGGATGTGTTATTGGGCAGGCCCTTGTTGTATACCACAGACATCTGCCATTACTTGCATGAGAAACTGGACAGTACACTCAGTTCTACTGATGACCCAAAGCTTGGGTGGGACAAAAAATATTCTGGGTAAGAGTCAAGATTCTAAAATTTTGAAAATCTGGAACTAAATCCAGCAAGATAATTTTAATAAGAATATAAGTCATGGGGCTTTAAAAAAATCAGCCTCCAGGGAGATGTGGCCAAAATGGCACATGCAGAAAAGACAAGCTTTGTTAAATTCAAGTTCAGTGTGAGATGATGGTGCAAGGTCCACCAAAAACGCATTTAT